GCTCACCCTCTACCTTAATGAGAGTTCCTCATGAGGTTTTATGTTTCTCTCCAACTGAATTAAACAGAAGAAAAAACAAGACCAGCATTGTTGAGGTTTCCAGAGAACACAGCCCCTTGGAAGTTTGCCTGCTGGGAGGTCATGTACTCCCCAGTTCATCACTTAGCAGCACCTCTGGGGACAGAAAAAAAGTCATCAGACACTTGTATGGGGCTGAGGTTCAAGTTTACTGGTTTTTCATCTTCTTGTCCTCAGATGACCACTCAGTAGTTCTTTTTTTTTTCTTTAACTCCTTTTCTGTATCCTACTTTCTTAGTCTTCAGAAGCTTAACTAGACACTGCCAATGTAAGTACATCTTGCACAGATACATATAGTCTGCGGTCCTCAACCCCCAGGCCCCAGACCAGTACAGGTCCATGGCCTGTAAGGGAACAGGCTGTGTATCACTGCCTGAGCTCCGCACTACCTTCCCCCTCACCCACAACACCCCAGCCCCCTACCCTCAGTCTGTGGAAAAACTGTCTTCCATGAAATCGGTCCCTGGTGCCAGAAAGGTTGGGTACCACTGCATATAGTTACTCAGAGCCAGGTGGTAATGGTTTCCTAAAGTTCTGTGATAAATACAAGAACAACCTAAAACATCGAGGGGTTTACTTGAAAGCAGCCCAATTTCAGTGTTGAGTTGCCCAAGACATAGTCATCTTCAGTCTGCCTTCAGAGAATCCCTGAAAATCCTAGAATACATACGCAGAGACATTCGTCACCCCCATTTACTCTCACAGTTGAAACTCAAGTTAGCTCGTAACAGTGAAAAGGAGAGAAGGTTCCGGGGAAGCAGCCACATTCCAAGTGATTTGGCATGGCAAAATCTTGGACTGAATTTAATCACAGGCGTAGAGTTTTCAATCTCTCTAAATTTCTGTAGGCAATTTATGTAATTATATTGGCACGCACATTTTTCCATTTCAGTAACAAAGCCACAAAGATCTTTATGTTCTCAGACAAATCTTTAATATTGTAAAAGAAAAACAGCAGCCAATATAAACTCAAAAATTCCAAATAGGGGCATGGTTCCCTGATTTTTCTCTTCAGAGTCAGTAAGAATGCATCTCATATAGAGGGAAAGACAAGCTTGGAGCTCTCCTTTGCCAACTCCCTTCCTCCACCCTAACATACATTTTATTCAGACATAAGACGCTTTATTAGCCAAGTCTCCCTCGCACTGCTTTGATATTTTGAACCTAATTGAATATGACTGATCACAGCTCCCGGATCACATTTGTAGGCAGATTTTTGCTTGCACACATAGTACACATATCTTTGATCAAGACCAGCTGAGAACACCAGCCTAAGTAGGTAGACGTGGCAGAATTCTGAACCTTGGCTATTCTATCAAGACTAAGGAGTGCATGCTAATTTTTAGAAGTTTTTCTTTTCTCACGGAACTAATTCAACATAAGTCTGTATAAGGGAAGCAAAGTTAAAACAACTAAAATAATTTCTGTTCCTTCCTGATTATAGCAAAATAGACTGAACAATGAACAAGTATAGTTTATAAATTCTGAGCCTATGATCACAGACAGGAACTATAAACCATGAATGCCAATAAACACAGATCAAGTTAATGTCAAAGACAAATAAAATACACATCAAATTTAATGATACCTATTTAATGTTATGCATAATCACAGTAATTATTCAACTAGATGGGAGGAGGGGCCAACGATACATTTCATCAACCTCACAAGTCAGTTGGTCCTGATGGCCACCGACCCTCCCCTTCGATCCTACTCCAAGTCCCAAAGGACAAAGCCCCTGATCTGAAAGGGAAGTCCCAAGGCCCACAAAATACTCATTTACTCTCTCTACTCCTTCCACAGGCCAGAAGCACAGCCTGGGACTATGAAGTAAAGAAAGGTTTCCCTGTGCAATTTCTGCTTGGAGGCTCAAATAAGCTATCCAGAGCTACCACATGTCTTTTCATTGGCATAACTCTAGCACCAAGCAGTCGCGACAGTTTGTTACAAGGATGACCCCTGGGAAGACTGGTGTTTGTGTTGTGAGATGAGGAAGACTGGCACGGCAGTGTGAAAGAATCTTAGAAATTCACTTCTTGGTGCATACTGGTTAATCAGTTTGCTTTCCTAACATCTAGTCCCCAAGGAAATGGGAGTTTTAAGGAATATGAAGGTATTGGGTTCCTATAGAAAGAGAGAGAATAAATTAGAAAAGGTACCCCCTCCAAAAACCCCACTTCTTCACCTAAGGCTTGTGTCAAGGACAGGCCCTATTCCCTCTCCCCTCCTTCTAGAACCCTTTCATCCTGTCCATCTCCTGACCCAATCTGTTCACAGTTGGATGAGCCAGCAGTGGGGATAAGATACCTGCAAAGGCCTGGCTTTGTGATTCCACTCTTAGAGGAGTGTCCGGGATTCTTTTCATGGTTGGGTTTTGTTTTGATTGGGGAGGTGGTATAAGAATGTTTACAGCCTGCTTAGAATCTTTGCTTAGTGCAAACGACACTTAAGAGGAATTTTAGAATGCATTCCAAAATGGGAATACATGAGACTTTCTATCCAGCTATAATCATTCAGGAAAAAGAGAGTAGAATTCTCATCCCATCTGTGTTATAAATGACCCACTGCAGGTCTTTCCTAAAAGCAAACATGGTCACATTTCTGCCAATTTATATTGATAATTTGGTCCTGTTCAACTGACATTGCAAATTAATATCAATTCATACTCGTCCCTACTTGCTTTTGAATGTCTTATAACTGCCACAAATAATCATCTCTTTGTGAATTACACAGGGAAAGTCTTGATTTAACCAAAGGAGTGATTTCATTATCAGACAGAATTCTTGTGGACAGAAGGCTATATCATGTCCATATAATAGGAGGCCATGAAATCACTGGCTTCCTACATCTTCCTATGGAACTGGGTAGTTTTAAAATATGTTCACAAATTCTTTGACACACCTCCCTTTGAAAGGTAGAGACTGCTTAGCCTCTCTGTATTCTGGGGTTGCCTCGATGAATAGATGCAGCAGGAATGACCCTGTGGGACTTTAAGGATAGATCACAAAAAGTGATATGGTCTGTCTCTGTCCCTTTTCTACTCTCTCCCAGCACAGACACCTTTGGACCCCTGTAAGCCACCATGTAAGGCATACAGCTACTCTAGAACTGTCATTCTAGAGAAAACCATTCATGAAGGCAGAGAGAGAGAGAGAAAGAGAGAGAGAGAGACAGAGAGAGAGAGAAAGGGGCAGGCCCAAGGAATATCAGCTGTTTGAGTCTTCCAGCCCAGGTGATTGACAGGTGAGTGAGGAAGCCTTTGAGATTATGCCAGCCCCAGCCATGGTCTGACTGTAATCTCCCAGGATACCTTCACTAGAACTACCCGACTAAGCCACTCCAAATTCCTAATCCAAAGAAACGATGAGAGATGATTATTATTTTAAGCCACTAACTTTTGGGGTGATTTTGTTATGCAGCCACAGTAACTGAAAGAGGAGCTATGATGGAATCAGAACAAGAGGACAAAAAAGTGCCATCTACCCCCAAGATCAAACAAGGAAGTCTTTAGCATTCACAAGAACCTCAGGAAAGAAGACTTAGAAGTCTTCAGGAATGATGAAAATAGGTAGAATTCATCAATAAATGCAACAAAAAACAACACTAGAATAATCATCTTTTTATTTCCATACTGGGTGACCTTTATGAGAATTTTCCACATTGATAGTTAAAAGAAATATAGTAAGACTGACCCTGAGCAGAACCTCATAGGCTGGCAGCAGAGTCAGAGGCAAAGGAAAGAGCTGGGGCGTGCCTCCGTCATCTCCACGTAGGTGCCAACACCATCGCTGGTTTCCTACCTCGTGACTTTTCTCAACAGGTTGTGCAGCTGATACAGTGCAAGTGTTTCCCCCAACACAACTCTGAATCACTCTGAAAAGGAGGACTTTTCCCTTTCAGGGGGCATGGAACAGAGATGGAGTCCAGTCAGGAAAGGTGGTATCCATCATTGGACCAGAGATAGTGAGTTTGTGACACCCACGTGTCCTGGTGAAGCTGAACTGAAGGTGATGCTCAGGAGATGGCAAATGGGGGCACGCAGGCAGGAGGCAGCCACAAAACCACTTCCCCTGGCCCACCCAGTGTTTTCAAAACAGAAAATTTCTAGCTGTCTAGCTTCTCTTGAAATCTTCGAGATCTAGCAAGCCTGAGTATGCACTGCCACCTGGTCTCAACCAGCGGGAGCCGACTATTTTTCCCTTTAGACAGAACATGCTCTCTCTGCCAAAATCCCCATCACTCCTTACTGTTCTATACCTGAGCTCACTTCTTTCATTTACTTTATACTTCTGGTTCCTGTGGGCATCTGAGCTTGGGTTTTGTGACCTATATCAACAGAGGAGTTTCAGACTCCAAACCACCAGGTGCTCCCTGGTCACACCATAGGTTTGGATTCTTGGTGGTTTGGAAATTCAAGGAAATTCTGCTGTTGTGCTCTTGCCAATTTCTTCTCCTAAATTACAAATGTGGGACCATGACAAACCCATATACCTAACGGTCATGTAAGTCACCTTATAACACTGTTATTCAATAGTGGAATGCTAGGTTTGCCCCTAAAAATACATACCGAGTTTATCTGATACATCCCAACTATCTGTAAAATACAAACTGTCTATACACAGATCTAACATTCCCAGCCCAGATTACAGTAATGTGGAAAAGAGTCAATTGTCAGTCAGTTCTGAGATTAGGATGGACAGAAATGGGATAATGAGATCTACATATTGTGAATAACAATTTAGTCACTTACCATGGAATACCTTCAAGGTGATTTCTACTGGTGACTTAACTAGGCAGCGAGGGCATTTGTTGAGAGTTTAAGACCAGCATTTCCGGGGGGGTGGGGTGTGTGTACGTGTGTGTGTGTGTGTGTGTGTGTGTGTGTGTGTGTTAGAGAAAACAAAGACAAAACAACTACTCACCAATTCCAGACATTGTCTGTGCCCATAGGCAGCAGCATAATGTATGCTATTGTAACCTTCTTTGTCCCGGATAGATGGATTTGCATCATTTTGAAGCAGAAACTCTAGACATCTGTAAGTATAAAGATGAGGTGTTATTTTAGAAACATCTTGGGGCCAAAAGGGATAATTAATGTAAATCCTTCTATTATAATGTTCCAGGAAGGACTCGTGAATCTCAGTGTTTCTTTAAAAATTCTACAGCAATGAAGCCTTATGTGTTGGAAGGGTGTGTGTGTGTGTGTGTGTGTGTGTGTGTGTGTGTGTGTGTGTGTGTGTGTGTTTTCTGTAGCTACCTTTATTTGAGTTTGAAATAGCCATTCTAGAATTCAGGAGAAGCTTTAGGAACAAGAGGGCAATTAAGGTTTTTGTTTCTTCTCATCTTAAGTTACAGAGCATGTCTGTCATCACAATTACTGAATAATAAATTTTAGAGCTCCATGTTCTAAAAACAAAGTCTTAAACATAACAAAGAAGTGGTCAGGACTTCATAGGGCAAAGCCTCAACGGGGAGGGGCTTATTTTTAACCTCACTCTAAAGTAAAAAGCGTAGAAAATGAAAGTTAAAAAGAATAAATAATAAAGAACCCAAGAATAGCCTAAATAATAAAAATAATGGAAAGGGTAAACATTTAAAAGAAATAAAGAATTAATTTTGTAAGCACATATGAAGAAACAGCCTTCAATTATACCATTAGGAATATAGATCAGAAAGAAAATTTTAAAAGCCTTTCAGACAGAATTGTGATTTTTCTGAAAAAGCCACAGTCTTATGAAAAGGTTAGAGGAAGGAGCATGGCTCCACCTTTGCTGAAGAGCCCAAAACTCCAGGATCCAAGAACTCAGGGATTTAATGAGTTCTGTTCAGGGCCTATTGCAAATGTTCCGATCCTCCTGGTACAGGAGGGACTAACTAAGCAGAGAGCAAAGCTCCATAGTTCAGTATTATTTCTGTGACAGTGGGCCAAACACCTCCTTTACAAGACTAAGTTGATTCAATTTCAAACTCAAATCGAAATTTTAAAATTCTAACTATAACCCTATACTTTAAATGAGACCTTCCAATGGAAAATTTATATCTATAGTTTACTCAAAAACCTTTAAATGACATTTACCTATCTTTTGGTATAAGGCAAGAGGAATAAATAAATCACGCATAGAAACAGTTAAAACAGACACATCAATTTCCAGAAGAACTGATTAAAGACTCAAGTTTTTTTAAATTAAATACCTACATTGCACATGATTTATCCATAAAATGCTTTATAATAAATCAAACTATTATTAGAGTCCTGCTATCATGCTGTCTTTGGTCATTTGCACCTTATAAGGAAGAAGTCCTTTTTCATTTTGGTAATGAAATGTCCATGGACAACATCCCAGGTATGACTCACATTAAACCAAATTTGTCTTTTCAAATAAAATCATTCAATAGGAATAACATTCTAGTGGACACATAATCTCCAACTTCTGAATGTATTATATTCCAAAATTCAGTTGAGTTTGTAATTTTGAAAACCCACAGAATATAGCTGAACTATACACTATCAACATTACTATTATAATGACACAGTACTGTAGAATTTGGATATTGGCCACATTGTTTCTAAGGAAAAATGAATTTCATGTTTTCAGTGGGGATGCTTATCTTTTCTCCTCCCAGGGCCCTGACTAGCAATTTTGGCAATAAGAGGCAAAATCAACAGGTGCACATGAGGTCAAGGGTGTACTTGGACACAGGGAGTAGCCTCCCTTCACATAAAAGAGCTCTCAGGGCTGGTTCCCTGTCCCTCCCCTGCCTCTCTTGCTCCCTCCCTCTCCATCGGCTGGAAGAGGGCTGGTCTGGCCCAGGACAAGCCTGCAGTTCACTGGAGAAAGGGGCATTTGCTGAGGTAGCTTAAAATTCTACAGACTTCTAATATCATTATTTTAAATTTTGGAGTATTGGAGCAAAATGTTGGGTCATTCTCCTTTTCTCATAGCTGTGTTTCTTGTCCTCATTCCAATTACAGTCAAAGTTATGTCCCACAACTTGCACTGGGGCTACACTCTCTACCTACACCCTTCCACAACAGTCTGGGCACGGGAGGAACCCAGTGGGAGCTGGGAAGACCCTGGAGTGGACACAAGCATTCGACTCACAGAGAAACTGGTTCCTCTGACGATCAGGGCAGAGAATAAACAAGTCGAAAACTGTGTGCCTGCAGACTGGCAGAGCACTATATCCACTGGGTCCCACAGGGGCAAGGCACAAGACGTGGGCACCAGTTCATTTGTTTGTTTATTCAACAGGTACTGAACGCTGACTAGCAGCCAGGCACCATGGTGGGCACTGTAAGCTTCTTACTGGGACTCACAGTGCAGAAAGGACTCTCAGAGCTTCCCTGTATATCAACCCCGGTAATGGCAGGCACTCCAGCCCCTATCACGGCAACAGCTATGTCTCTGTCAAAAGCCAGAGAGAGGCAGGAGGGATGAGGTGGCCCAGGAGCAGCTGTTTGCAGGGGCGGGAGGCTGTTTGTAAGTTGATGTGTGTGGGGCGGGGGGCAAGGGGAAAATACAAGTGGGGTATTTCACACCAAAGTCTTCAGAATCTTAACAGTTACCCCAGGTCATAAAAGCAGAACCTAAGGCCCTGAGAAGAGGCAAATTTGTCCCCTGGGGCACATGGTGCATGGCAGAGTCAGAAATGATATTTGAGACACCTGGCCCTAAAAACCACTGACCTATCCCGGTGGTGGCTGAAGCAAAGCTTACAATTTTAGAAAGTTCCCCAATGTGAAAATAGCAGAACTGATGGATGTATTAAGAGAACAGTTTCTTTGCCTTTAAAGGAAAGCCCATACCATTTCCTCAAGATCCCAAGTGAAACCCCAAAATAGTAAGGCAGGCAAAGTGGCAACCGGAGAAGCAGACAAAGGATCAGAAATGGCACCTTGTCTTAAGCTGGGAAGAAACTTACAGCGCGGCTTCCTTTTCCTTCAGCTCCCTGGCTCTTTCAAGTTCTTCTGAATTTTCATGGCCATTTCCTAAGATAGTCTTACTTCTCAGCATAAGGGATAGAAAAAAACTGCAATTAATATTTTTAAAGGCAAAGCTGTTAATGGTTTTGGTACAATTTATATCTCAATGCTTTTTACCCCAATCCAAAGGAAATAAGCACCACTGATTTTCCCTGAGGGTATCCATCGTTTTCTCCAAGGCCATCCAGTAAATCTATTCTCTCCCAAAGAACCCATCTGAGAACATGACTTTCTAAAACTTCCACCTAGGTATCAGTGATTAAGGCAACAATCAAGTTGCCAGTCCTTCCATAAATTCCCCAAGTGAAGAAGAAATGACTTAGCTCGAACTTCTCTGACTCCTACCACGCTCCTCACTGCCTCCTTCCAGTTCAGCCTCTCATCTACCCAGGAAGGGGGTCCTAATCACCCCTCACCTGTCAGAACATTTCATCATCCAGGATCCTTTTCCAGTTCTTAACAGATGAAGTATAGTGTCCCCGCCTCCTCTCCACCACCCTCACTCTATTCCAAGTGAATAGCATCTACTGGCACACAGCAGATGCTCAATAAGTGTTTGCTGAATTAATAACCTGCATGGCTTTGGGATCCAAAGTGCTATATCTGACATTATTATTATATAATCATATTATATATTTTACATATAATAAACATAATATGCATTCTGTAACTAGGATGAGCATTTTTCAAGCTATGGATCATAACCCAGTACTGAATTGTGAAATCAGTTTAGTAGGTTGTAGTCAGCCGGGGTTTTTTTCTAATAAAATAGAAGAGAAAATGTCAGAATGCATCACACATAGTAAAAGCAAATATGATTTTATGAAATTTTAATTTCCATCTTACATACATCATATACAATATATCATATCAAATATAAGTGAATGTGTGCATTGGGTCATGATGTAAGATGTATTTCTTATTGTGTGTCACCATCTAACAGCCATTGACCTATGGGAGAAGCAGTTAGGACTGACCCAGAATCAATTCCATAGTACAGGGCAGCAAATAATTCAATAATTCTTCAAACAGTGTCACGAAAAAGTATTCCTATGGCGAAGGCCCCACCTGAAGCCTTTGAGTACAATTTCATAAATTGTGGGCATCTCCCCCACCTTTTTGCCTTGTCCTTCACTTATTTCTGTTTTCTATTCCTAGCCACCTATGGAATCCAAACATGTCCTAGGGCAACCAACGTCCTCTCCTCCAGCTCCTGAAAGAGCATTCATGCCCAGGTTTGGAACAATAATGCCTGGTTTACACATACTGCATTTGAAGGCCTTTGGGATTATGCATGGTTGGATGTTTTTGACATATGACATATATATTAGCAAATGTAAGTTTTACAGCAAATGAAGCATTTAAGTAGTGATAAAGAAAACTACAGTATATGTCAAAATAAATAACAACTGATTTTGAATGAACTGAAAACCTGGGCTTGACAGCTCCACTTGGTATTCAACCCAAAGAAGACAGAAGAGAAGCTATTGTGCAGTGACATGTAATAATCACACATAAAGCAAGCAGAATGGGAAAACCCAGGTTAGGAATGAAGCAAGTCCAACTTCTTTGGGTCTGGATATGAGAGATTTTTCATTTGTAGTTTCTGTGAAGCAGTCTGAAGACAACTGAGCAACACCTCCCCGCTCCCCTGCCCTGCCCCCAGAGGAAGCATGAGCAAGGCTGCCATTACTTTCTATCCATGTCTGACGCAGCGGCATAGTGCAAAGCTGTCCGTCCCCAGTCATCTGTTTCATTAACGTTGGCCCCTGTGGTCACTAATGTCTCAATACAGTGGAAATGACAATTTGCAGCTGCATAGTGCAAAGGGGTCCTGAAAAACAAACAGCAATTTATTACTTCATTCGGTCTAGAAAACAGATCCATCACTGGCCCTAGTGCTGACAGCAGTATTCCTAGGGCTGTGGAAAGCTCTTGGACTCTCAGCGTGTGGAGGCCAAGGTTGTGCCTTCCTATGACTATACAGGTTGGGTATCTCTTATCCAAAATGCTTGGGACAGAGTGTTTTGGATGGTTGAGCAGCCCGAATCTGAAAATCCAAAATCCAAAATGCTCCAATGAGTGCTTACTTTGAGCATCACATCAGTGCTTAAAACGTCTCAAATTTTGGAGGATTTGCACTTAGGATTTTCAGACAAGGGATGCTTAACTTCTATAAACTACAGCTGAAGCTACAAAGACAGTGGCTTCAGACAAGGCCATCCACCACAGATCTACCCTTTCTTTCTATTCCTAGACCCCATCCAAGTCTGCATTATTGCTTTTTTGAACCATTGCAAGACCATTCCATTGGCCTCCTTGGCTCTAATTAAACTTTCAGTTTATTTTTAGTTAATGTGAATGAAAAATTGGGTTTTCTCAGGTACAATACCCACTTATGATAATCCTGTTCTAAAACCTTTCATCCTCCCCACTGAACAAAGGCTTGATTCCTCAGCTTGGAATCGAAGATCTTCCCAAGCTGGTCCCAATCTCCTCTGACAGAGTAACTCTCTCCCCTAGACATACTCAACAGTATACCCAAACTCAATGACTTCAAGGTTTCCCAATCAACTTTTCCCTCCACCTATACCCATGTTGGTTTCTCCCTGGAAGTGCCCTTTCCTGAACCACTTCCATCCATCAAATCCCCACTCATCTTTCATGTTCCAGAAGTCAGTTCTCTTTCTTTTGTCTGAGATTGCTTAGCTAGCGTGGGTCTCTCTTGAGCTCTCATCACATACTGCCTTGATTTTAGCTATTGGTGTGTTGTCTTATCTTCTCCAGTGGACTGTAAGCTCCTTGAGGGTAGGGATGTAAGTTACTGGAAAGGACAATCCACACAGAATCAGAAGCCCTGGGCTATAGTGTGGGCAGATCTGCAAGCCGGCCCAAACCACATCCCCTCTCTGGGGCTAGGCTTCTTCATCTTTATTTTAATAAGGATCTTTGAGCGACTGTGCCATAAAGCCCATGCTAGGTCTACAATTCTATATGCATGTATAAACCATTTAGTTTGTCTGGGCTCAGCTTTCTCATCTATTAAAAAGGATAACAGACATCCCCATATACCTCACAGAGTTACTATGAGAAACCAAGTGATAATATTCAGAAAATACAGGCACCTCGTAAAGGGAAAGCCTGCAGAAATATGAAATAATGTTTATTACTTATTTTTAGTTCTCAATTATTTAAAAGTTTTCCTGGTGTGACTAACTAATATTCAGGGGATAATACTCACACAGACTAGTAAGAATAAAGTAACTATTTCAAGAATTATTTATTAATTTTCAAGCACAACCATTTCTTATTTTATAGTTAATTTATGGGATCTTTTACTAGGTGATTTTCTCCTTTTTAGTCCACAAAAGGAAATTATAAGTATTTTACATTTTAGATTGCTTATGTTTTAGTTAATTAGACTGAAAATTATTAGGTATCAACCACATACCAGGGCCCAAAGATAAAGAGAAAAAGATACCCAGTTCTTGTCCCCAGGAGACTCACAGTCAGGTGGGGATAGAGATAAGGAAACTGAGTCCATGAGAACAGTATGATGTGTCTACAGTGGTGAGGAGAGGAGGGAGGGGGCACTCCTACCAGAGTGCAAGGGGGTGTCACCACGCAAATCTGGAAGGGTGAGTAGGAGCTGTCTTACATGGGTTGGGAAGAGAACTTTGCAGCAACCCCAAAGAACCAGGGTGCATGTGGAGAGGAAGGGCGAAATATATACACACACACACGCACACACACACACACACACACACACACACATATACATTAACAAAATATAAATTCATGTACCAGCTAGTATCAAGGCATAGTTTAGCTAACACAAAGGACCATTAAGGTAAAAAAAGTTCTATGACCTAATAGCAGTATGTGTGTATATGTGTGTGTAATGTTTTAAATACATCTAAAACTTTATCCCAAGATAAAATGTCCACTATATGTAACAAAATGTTCTAGATCTTATGACCAGATTCTGGGTTAGGAGGGCTAAAATATTCTACTCTGCAGCAAACAGAATTTTCTAAACTATATCCATGGGCGAATTTTTTTTAAAAATTGAAAAAAGAAGAGAGAAAATCGACACTTCTAAAACAGAAGCTGCGAGCAGAGATGCTTTCCTTGTGGCTTGTGTTTGCTTAGTTGGCATTTCCGTACCAGAGGGGATTTCCTTCCGAGGATGGAATCCCCCCAGCTAGCTTCCCTGTTTACCATTTCCACGTAACATGATTACGAGATGGACTACTCCCCGCTCCTTCCATTTAGGCACTTGAAGCAGAACTCCCTGATTACATACCTCCCACACTTGTCCTTTTTATGGAAATCTGCTCCGCTGCTCTGCAAGAGTTTTATACATTCCACATTACTAGAAAGACAGGGAAAACATCATTAAGATGGAAGAGATCAATTACTGGGCTATCTTCAGAAAGAGTTGTTTTCTACACAGTGCAGGACAAGATGAAATAACTCCAGGTATAAATTCTGCTAACAAAAAATAACTTGAACATATTAATTCCCTACTGTAAGGCTCTAAAGTCCCTAAAGATCTTCTTTCAAAGATAGTAAATCAATAAATTAAAGAGGTTGGTGGGACATTTTCAATCCCGTGACTAAAGAGTTTAATGATTATTATATGATTAAACCTTCCAGTGATGGTTTTGTTTATCCTAAAATTCTTTTTCAAAACCATCAGGAGTTTATGAAACAACTATTTAAACCTATAATAATTTCATGTCACCTTTAAACAATGAGCCAGAGTGGATGAGTATTACCTTTTATCACAGCAGAATGAATTCACCATGATAAACCACTTTCAACCTAGATACTCTAATGGGAAATAAAACAGCTGCATTTCTCTGTTTTTGTAATCTAAGTAAAAAATGTGTAGAACCAAGGCTGAAAACGATGCAATGGAGCACAGTGATCTTGCTCAGCTTCTTTGTCATTCGCAGAAGCAATAAATCGTATTTAGTAGAAAGAAAAGGACCCATCGAAGTGAATTTCTTGTTGAAGGGCATGTAGCTAAATATTAATTCTAATAGGAGTTTCAGACATGAATCTGAAATGGTGTCTTGCCACCTTCTGCACAGGTCTGATATTTTTTAAAACGTGGTCATAAAAAGAGGCAATCATCCATCATTGTTCTAAACTTGGATGCTAAGAAGCAGCCTGGAATTTATTGTTTTATTATAATTTAAATAAGAAAAATGATGTCGATGATAAACCTGAGCAGGGCCCTCCCCTCCCCACATCCACCCTTCATAGCCACCTTTCTCAAAGAGCTAGCTATTTCAGTCATCCAGTGTGCGAACTTTTTTTAAGACATCTATGTGTTGGTGTAGCACGCCAGTTGATACAAAGCACCTGTCTCTTACTGACTGGTGCCAAAGGATCAAAGTCAGTGGCAGATCAAAGTGGCAAGGCTCACGAAGCTCATACAATTTGAGGGTTGGGGTGGGGGAAAGGAGACTCCTTAAAAAATAATACAAAATTATGAATACAAAACTAGTTATAAGACTTTTTAGAAGGGACCCATGTAAATGAGGAGTCCTAAAGCTTCACCATTAATCCACCTCTGATAAATAGGTAATGTCTTTGGTAATATACAAATGACAAATGGAGAAGCATTGCTATTCCTTAAGGACCAGGAAATTGATTAAGAACCAACACCTTACCCAAACAAGGTCATCCAAGTGATGCCATGTTTGGTCAATGTGTGGTCAGATATATCAACAACATATTGATCAGAGCTTCAATCTAAACACCAGTATGAAAAAAGAGAGTAGCTGATGAAAAATTCTCTTTACAATGCAAAAAAAAAAAAAAAAAAAAAAGGCAAGGATTAAATCACTTCTTGCCTATCTTTTGGGTTTTCTTGACTTTTGTTCACATTTAATCATTATAAAGACTTAAAAAATCAGATTTGATATAAGGGTGAAAATGTGTATAAATGAACATTAATTAATTCAATCTTGGATTCTCTTGATCATCACCACCTACCAGCAACAAGAAAGGAAAAGCTTAGGAACAAATTTCAAATTATTTTCTTTTGGTGGAAGGGTACCTGATAGATACATATTCTATAGCCTGAAAATTTACAATTAAAAAAAATAAAGGAAAGAGAGAGAGAAGAAAAACAATTTGCTATATGAGATAGGCCAACAATTTTTCTTTGGAAGAACAAAATGCAAGTAATCTGGAAATGTAACATAGTGGTATTTGATATTCGGTAGAAATCATTCTTACCCATTTGACTAAGGAAATTGCCTTTGACTCACAGACAACTTAAGTCAATAAAGATGAATTAGTAATTAAGTCATGAAATAACTAGAATTGCTAACTACTCACCCTCCTGCAGCAGCAGCATGAAGGCACGTTCTTCCAAATTTATCTGGGGTGTCTATTTCAAAGCCTGCAGACAGCACGTGCTCATTACTAAACAAGGATACTATGCTATACTTTTGTCCTAGTTAAACCACAAGAAACATTGCAGAGACAGAAAAATCAGTTAGTAGAAAAACCAGAACGCAAGCAATTGTAGTCAGAAAGAGGTTGTCATGGAAACGAATGGTAACTGCTCAAGCTTGGCAATTTTATAGGAAGAACCGTGAAGTCAAGAAGGATTTATTTTCACATTCAGCCCTGGGTGAACCACAGCCCCATTTTTCAATCCCAGGATAGAAATTTATGAAACCAATTTGAGATAAGTAGGGCAATAGACAGGCAGACAGAACACATAGAGAAAACATGGAAGGCAAAGCAGTAATTCTAACATGCTGGAATAGGTATTTTCTTAAGTGTATTCCAACCTTTTGGCTGGTTTAAGATTTGGGAAACATGCTTGCATGCAGGGATTATTTTTAAACATGCCGACAGCA